ATCGCTCCGAGTGCCCACCCATCACCGCGGGGATCGCTCCGAGCGCCCCTCCATCACCGCGGGGATCGCTCCGAGAGCCCACCCATCACCGCGGGGATCGCTCCGAGTGTCCACCCATCACCACGGGGATCGCTCCGATCGCCCCCCCATCACCGCGGGGATCGCTCCGAGAGCCCACCCCTCACCGCGGGGATCGCTCCGAGTGCCCCCCATCACCGCGGGGATCGCTCAGAGAGTCCACCCATCACCGTGGGGATCGCTCCGATCGCCCCCCATCACCGCCCCTCCATCACCGCCCCCCCATCACCGCCCCTCCACCACCGCCCACCCGGCTAACCCGCCCTCCTCCCCCGGACAGAAGGCAGGGAGAGGCGGCGGTATAAAAATGTACACTTTATTACACCTTCAGGTAGGATACAGCACTATTCTTATCATCCTACTGGGGTCGAGTACAAATGCTCATCACTTATGTACAGGTTGACTTCCTAACACACTCCTGGGAGAAAGACACATCGAAAGGAAAAAAAAAATAATTAGAAGAAAAAAATTGGTGACGTTTAATCTTCATCAACTGACCTAAACAAGAAACAATCGCCTCTTTAGACACCAAATCAGACCAGCACAACGATGTAGCCAACAGCTCTCCCACTACTGGAACTCTTCCCCCCCACCCCGACTTTCATGCACATCGTAAAAGCTAAACATTTAAAAGTAAAACTCGGGCTAACTAAGCAATATTTTTGGATGAGCAAGGTTATACTGTACACAGCGTCACTATCCATTACCACTGCATTTGCTCTGCATTTTAAACTACTCCGCTGCCAGCAATGCCAGCTCCCTGGCTGGCCATGAAGTTTAGGGGATGGCACACACCAGTGGTTAGCAGGATCAGTGGAATACTACTGCATGCAAAAACAGCTTAAAAAAATAATAACAAAAACAAACCAAAATGCCCTTGTATTTGTAGACCTCAGGGTCCAAGAAGAAAAGTTTGCAGGACAAAAGAAGTATAAAATAAAAGATCAGGAACGCTGCCTGAGCCAATGTTTACATTTGTGATCTGAACAGAATGGGCTGTGCCCATCCCACCTAACACAGAGGAGCTGGCTGAGAATTCTTTCTTGTTTAAGCCATGTGGATCGCCAGGTACCAACAAGTGTGGACACACAGAGGTAAAAAGAAAAYATATGCTTTTCTTGCCCTTAAATAGGCTCCCTTCCTAAAAGAGTAAAAAGATCACAGAATGGAAAAATGATTTTAAAACCATGTCAGAAAAGGAATGTTGTAATTTTATCTGGATTTTACACATTGTGCAGTTTTACGGCCAAAGTAATATAAATCCCTTCAAGCCACCAAGGGCTTTTTGATTCCTCACTCAGTGCTGTTTGCAAAGTCTGTTATTAATTGTATGCAAGAAAAGTAAAGAAACCCCCCACAGTTCTATGCAGCTTTTTGCTTTTTTTTTTTTTCTCCATAACAATAAGGCAAACTGATTTGGAGGAAGAGGCCACGCTCTATTCACATCCAAAATACCCACCTGAAGATACATTCATTGTTAGCTTTAGTAAAAGAATAGTACAAAAGTTAGATCTTACTCTTTACACAGTTGAAGAATTAAGTCTTAGATTTAATTTCACTATTCTCCCCTCCCCCCACCCTCCCAAGCTGAAAGCYGTGTAAAAAGTACTGAACATTTAAACATGTTGCAAGAGCAGAATGAAACTGAGAGATCAGATTTTATCAGCTGGAGATTTTCAGTGACAGGAGTCCCATGAGAAACAGCTATGGATCATCTGTTTAGCTGTATCTACTGAACAACTCTTTTACCAAAAAAAAATGGGCTACACTTTAATAMACATCTACTATCAACACAGTATTTACTCAGCTCATGCCTAAAATATCCATTATTTTAAAGTGAAATATGAGAATGAGCACACAGGTTGGGCGATTCAATAAACTGTACACAAAAACTACCAACAAACATTTTAAAAGACTTACAAAAATGGAGAATGAAACCTTTTTTCCTTTTTAATTACATATACTTACAGGTTTTCMCATTTATTGGCTAAAACTTTGCAGAGAGCACTGCAAGTCTGTGTTAGATCTTCCAGGGGTGCTTGCCACAGGGAAGAACAACACAGCTTTTGTACAGATTAAAAATACTGAGCTGTATCAGCCACACCTGGTTCTTKGTGTGGCTTCACTGTGGGTACTGAGCACACACTGAACTACAGCAGAGAGCTGCATATTCCCACAGGCAGGTGTGGTATTCCAACACAGATGGATTTTACTGACATTTATGACAGATCACCATTTCACTTTTGAGAAGCTGGGCAGATTTTAAACCTAAGAAATGCTTGCTTTAACTGGTTTGAATGAGCACAGAGAACACAGGCAGAATGCATCTTGTACAGAGTTTGAGTGCTAACAGTTGCTAATACAYTGAAGTTACACGTGGGTTTTCATGTTTAAATGTTCACCAGCAAGAAACCTTCTGCTACAAAAAGAAAAAAAAATAGAGGTGTTTTGTCTTCATTTGGATGTTTGGAGTAGCTTCTCACTTGTCTCAGCAAACACAAAGTGCTGTGTTTCYCTGTTATTGCATTAGTTCAACTTGGTTTAGTAGGTGCCTTTAATCTGACAGTCGGTGTCCTCATTTGTACTTTTGCTTGCTGACTCTGGGCTTCAGGAGCTGCTGGTGCCTGGGCTGGGTTCTGTACACCTGGAGCCTGAACCTGGGGAGATGCTGTGGTCACCACCTGCTGCTGTATMAGTTTCTGCTGCACCACCTGAGCAGTAGCAGTGGTTGCAGGGATCACCTGAACCTGCTGTTGACCTGCTGTCGTCTGAGAAAGGGTCACAGTTTGGGGCTGAGCTTGCACCTAAATAGCAGGATGAAAAGGCAATTACAAAATCGTAATTGAAACCAAGCATTCATTACATTTCTACTCTACAGAAGGAATCCTACTTATTCAGGTATTTGCTCTTTTAACTGACAAACATCTCAGACAGATTCTGGGAACACAGGCTCTGTGRTTTCACTGAGAAACACCTTTCTGTTCCATTTTCTAGAGCCTTACAAATCAGCACTAAGAGCCAAGATGCCTTTAACTCAGATCTCTGCAGTGAAAATCAAAGGACATGCTTCAGATACATTCAGAAGTCAGATGAAAGGTATACAAACCCTACTAGATATACAGGAAAATTCCTCTACTGYAGAAGTGAAGGAACAGGGCAAAGAACAGAGGGACAACCAGAGGGCCAAAGAGATTTAAATGCTGACTCTGCACCCATATTGTGACAACAAATASAGCCACTGAGGCTTCCCACCAGTCTCTGCCATTACCCTTTCAGACTACAGCTGCCAGTCTCTATTGCCAGTTTAGGTTAGAATAGTTTGAACTCCATCCAGAAATCTAATGTTCACAGCTCTACCCAGAGCAAAGGAGAAAAAAAAATCAACATCT